ATAACAATTTATATTATATTAAAATTAAATTATTTTATACATTTTTTTATAGATTTGCAATTTTTTATTTGCCTGATAATTGATCAATAAAATAGCAATAAACAAATAAAATTTTGTTAAAAGTTGTAAAAAAATCATTATTAAGTAATTTGGTAGAAATCCACAAATTCGGTTTTTATATAATAGCTAGCTCATTGTGAATATTAACAGGTGCTACCGCGATGTATACAATATTAACATACTAAAAGTCATGAATTTTACTATATTTTTATTTATTTATTCTGCGGTCAACTTGCACCGGAGACACATGATTGTTATGCATGTCTTGTGGTGACCGGTGCTTCCTTAACAAATTAAAAATGTCGCACACAACTTTCATTTGTTACCAATATGGGCCCCATTCTTCAACAGTTAATAGTTTCCCAAATTCAATCACAGCGTTTGTTAAAACCACAAAAATGGCAACACTGTTTAGGAATTAAGAATATGTAAATCAATGCCTTATTGTCAACAAACAGTATTAATGTTATTTACTAATAACTATTACTCGTGATTTATCCTTATATTATGCGAAATTTAACCGATTTGTAATTAAAACCAAGCAATATGTTTATGGAGTGTCATACCCACTCCAGATTCCAATAAACAATATTATTACATTCCTATGATGTAATTTCACTATTACTTATCAACACCCCTATATAAACATAAACAAACAACATCAACAAACCAAAAAACTTAATGAACCAAATAACTTTTATATTGAACTTTTTTTAACTCTGCAAATAATAAAGTTAAAGCCATTATTTGGTACTTTTGTTCCACCCTGTATATATAAAGTTTCTCGCGTAAATCAATTAAAACAATTACGACAAATTAAACTGCTTATTACAAACCAATCAGCAAGCTTGTGTACAAATATGATTAATGATTTTGGAATACAAATGTATTGTGCGTCTGTCAGAAATTTAAGATTATGATGAACTTTCTTTATTATTTATTGGGAAAATGTTCTTAGGATATGTAAGCACAATTTATTAAGGATAATTACCTATCACGATTTAAGTTTTACTACCAGATAGATGGATGATTATAAAAAATAGAAATTAAAGTTTTTATCGTAGGCACGAGTCTCTAGAAAAGTTTATAAACGAGGTGCGTACTATACTTTTTCTACGACAAATACTTATTATTATCTTAAAATGATTTAAATCAAAAATTTGTATAGAGCGCCATCTATAAAACAATAGGGAAATCTGTGTGTCACCGTCAAATGTCAAATTTTATAAACACAGATTATAAAGGTTATCGAAATGTATTTCTTAAAAATTGACAGTTTTTCACAGTGAAAGTAAAGAAAATGCTTTATGAGCACTTTACAGTGAAGTCCGTGCCCGAATTTAAGTTATAGTTTACTGCCGGGAAATTAAAAGGTTCATATAAACTTTTTAAATATTGGCGTTGAGAAACAGTTTAATAGTTACTATTTAACACTTTTGTATTTTTGTATTGAGATAATAAAATAATTTTCACATTTAGTATTATTTTACAAGAAGGCATATTATTTTAACGATTGTATGACATTTGACAAATGTCAACTAACTTAAAAATAACTTCAGCCCGTGACTAAAAACCTGTTGCTAACTTCAGCCCGTGACTAAAGCCCAATAAAGCCACAACTTGTCAATGTGTAGAAAAATATTTTTATAAAGCAACATCTATAAAAAAATAGAGTTCAAAATGTCAATTATTATTTTATTATTTTGATGATTGTATGACATTTGACAGTTGTCACATTAGTTAAAAGTAATTATAACCATTACACCATGAGTTATAATTGTTAACGCAATTATACCAAACCACATTTAGTATAATTAAATTAAATAATAATGTTTGTGGTTAACTCATTCAGAACTATACTTGGGTAATGAATGGTATGTTTATACATTATTTAAAAACCAATTATTATAAAACAAACTTTCTTGTTTTATATTTTTTAATCACTTTTTTATGTAAATAAATAAATAAATTATCAAAAATTTCGTTTTGTTACGCGATTTTCTATTTCATTTAAATTTAAATGTTAAGTATAGAGTTTCTATGTTTTGATTGTAAATATTAAATGGTAATGCAATGTTATTGTTTAACATTTAAAATTAAGGTGGCATAAACTTTTATTGAAAATTTAAATAAATTGTTTTTATATAAAGTCAACATTTTATAATTTTAAAACTCGTAAGTTGGTTTTTATTGTAAGAAGAGACAGCAAATAATTATGTTTCTTATATCAGTTTTTTAATATTGGTATAGAGTAATAATACCACTGACTCTGATTTTCTTGATACGTAATAAAAATAAAAAAGACCACAAAAGACCTTTTTTAAATTTTCATGATCACATGAAAAATCGCAGGCCCACTTCAGAAATTCTGACTATACCAAAATATGATTCGTAACCTATTATTTATACTTTTAGAATTATTACTATTATACAATAATTTTATTTCATTTGACTTTGTTTTAGGATATCTGTGTTTAAAGTTGGCAGATATTATTAGTTAACAATTAATTATAAAATGCCTTCGGCACTATTGATTGCCATTCAAAACCCTGTAATAGTTTAATTAACCATAAAACCGAGATGCGTTTCAGGCACTATTACAGAATAAAGTGCTTTGAATGCTTGCCTAGTAAGCCAAATAAGTCAAAAACGTGAACATCTTGTGTAAAGTAAGTATTTATAAGGTGATAAATTCGGATCTAGACTGACTTTGATGATAATTTGATTTAGAATAAACAAGTTTTGACGCAACGAATAGAGTTATTCAAATTAATGTACACTGCGTGCCAAAGACAAACACCAGATTTATTTTGAAAATATTTATTTTGGGTAATCCTTTTCATAGGGCTCCTTAATTTTATTGTTTGGTATAATTATTATTACAATCTATTTTAGTAAAACTTTAGAAAAAGGTTTCTTGTTTATCGCTTATTGGGGTCTCCAGAAAAAATATCTTTAAACACACTGTTATAAATCTATCGGATTTGTCATTTTAAAGACCGGTAACAGTAACTGTATTTAAATTATAAAATTAATTGTTACAAATTATCCCACACATGCTACAGTTTTGTAGGGACTGATGTAATTTCCTGTCAATGAAAACATTTTCATACGTAAAAGTGAAAGTCGAAACTGAACTACTGGCATCCAAAATATTTGAGGAAAGTAAAACGAATATTCAGTTTAGTCTTTACAAAAAGATTTACAAGCGAATAATTTAATTAATTAAGGAATTTTAGGCTTTGTTAAATATGGGTATTGTTAGAACAATTTATTACATCTTGTTTCGTTGTGTAAGAAATTAGACGAATTTATGTTTTTTTCAAAGCGTTTGCAGGAATAATTGTTTAGAATTTATTTAATATTATGTATCAAGTTTGATAATAGTATATTAAAGAACTAATGTCATAAGACGTCTTATGACATAAGTTCTAGAACATAATTATGCTATTTTGCAAAAATGTCAAAATCGATTCGCCATGCCGTCCTTAATTTACTTATTTACAATAAGCGGCTGTTAATGTTAAAGAAGGAAAAAAGGATTTTCTTTGGTGTTAAACAAAATTTATTGCCAGAAAAGTCTCGTAAGTACTAGGAAAATCATAAAAATATTATAAAAAATATGCAAAATATTATGCTGTTTAAAGTATAGCCAACCTATAAAATAAAATTTTTGGATGTAATAAAGTATCTCATTACAGCACCCAAAGCGGTGTTATAATGAACGCAAAATAGATAAAATATTGTTTTTAAATAATGCATTTAAAAAAATATAATGTTAAGATCAAAAATATAATGTTAGGTGTAGATTTTTTTGAAGCTAAGTGCAATCATAAATTTTATGTAAATTTTAAAGGTGTAATCTAGATAGTAAATTATTTGTTTATTAGTTATATTAGCTAATAAAAAAATGTCAAGATCATGACTCATGAGTATTAATATTTAGATTTAAATACAAATAAACTACTAAACCCAAGATTTTATTTACTATAACTTAAAAGTTAAGGGTGTCTACTCGCTAGTGGCTAATGATCTTTGGTTTAATTATTTAATTAATATATATTATTATTATATTATATTAACTTATATTAAACTAATTATTGAGCATAATGATGGTCATTTTTTAATTAAACCCACCCAAATTACCCTTGAAAAGTTGTGGCAAAATTTTTTTCGATCAGTGTAATATACTTTTTATTATACTATTAACATTAACATTAAATTAGTTGTTAATATAATTACCTATATTATATTATAAATAGGTGCGATCTAAATAGTTAATTATATGTTTACCTATTTATTTATTGGCATACTAAAAAAATAAAAATGTCAAGATCGTGATGATCATATGTAATAAAATTTGGTGTAAGCTAAATATAGCTATTATTTAATACATTCAAATACAAATGAGTCCGCTAAAACAAAAAACGGACTCTCTAAAAATTAATTAGTCAAAAATGACTAATTTAATAGTTATTAGTGGCTGCTTTTTCACTTGTACCATGGTTAACCATGGAATAAAATGGTTTCCCAAAATTTAACAGCCAATTCCTGTGTAAAATTGTCCCCTGAATCCGAAAATACCGTCAAAAATTGTGTGGAGTCGAGCAGTTTTTGAGATATAGTCAATTCCATATTAAATGGAAAATTGACTATACCTCAAAAACTGTTCAACTTTTTTAATTTTTGACGACATTTTCGGATTCAGGGGACAATTTTACATAAGAATTGGGATACCATGGTATTCCATGGTACAAGTAAAAGAGCAGCTACTAATAACTATTAAATTATTAATTTTTGACTAATTCATTTTTAGAGAGTAACTTTTTGTTTAGCACGACAGTACACTATCATTTTTGACATTAAATTTTTAGAGAGTAGTAACTACAATCTTAGAAAATAAAGAACATATTTTTTAAATATTTTTTCTTTAATTTTAGAAAAACCATCCATCAAATGAAGAGTCAACAAAAAAGTGGTAAGTTTAAAAACATTGCTAATTACCCTGACTAAAATTAACATTAGTCATACATTGTTAGTAATTTTACAAACAATTAACATACAAATTGTAAAAATTAATTAACACTTTTTTTAATCATAGCTGGTACGAAATGTTTTATTTATTGTTGTATTTAGTTTTTATTTTTAATCAAAATCATCATCTTTTAATACGCCACTGAACAATTCAATTATCACTTTTCTTTTCATTAGCAAACAAACAAACAAACGAAGGTGATTCTTTACACGGAGATCCATATAATCATAAGTGAACATAATTTATTGACACTTAGCATGCTACGATAGAAAATTAAGAGATGCGCGCTCTAATAAATCGGACTTTTCTTCGAGTTTTTCTTATGGTAATATGTCGCGCAGCGAAGGCCGTGCTTGCAGTGCTGCCAACTTAACATGCATACCAACCTGGCATGTGCATAATACATGAAATTATCGATAGATTTAGCATTGTGCGTGAGCTGCCAGCAACGTAATGTATTGGAATTTTTATTATTTGGTTTTGATGAATTGAAAATAAACAATGAATAGATTTATACAGGGTGTTATGTAATTAATGTTATATATTAAAATGGATTGTTCCTTAGGGTCCATAAAGAAGCACCTGAAACTTTTTTTTCTAAATTCCAAAGTCTAAAAATAATTTATAATAACCTTTATCCTACCAAAAAGTACGCCACTGATCGACTAGGAACTTTAGGTTAATCTGGTGGATTTATTATGTTATGGTTGGTAACAACAGTTTTTCCAAAATTTGTCAAAGAAGTTGACAAACATTGTTTAAATTTAGCTTAATTACAAAAATGACAAAATTAACAATGCAAATTGTCAATTTGGCGTTTTTATTAATTGTTGGTTATTTCATTTTTGTACTGAAGGTAAATTCAAACAAAATCTGCCAACTTTTATGACAGAATCTAGTGCATTTCTTTTAAATTTTAGGTTATGTTTTCAAATTGTAAATATCTTAACTAAGGGAAGTGCTTTTGTATTTATTTACACAAATAAAATGTTTAAAGTTTAACCTGTGAACTGAGTAAACAGAGAAAAAAACTGATGAAAAAATTAATTTTGTGGTTATGGATTTCAAATTTCAAAGGTACTAAATTTTCTAATCATTGCTTAAGCTAATAGCTGGATCAGTAAATAAATACAGAAGGGTATTAGAGCTTTAAGGGCATAAAACTTTTGTATTTATTGAGTTTTTATTTCTTTTTTGCAAGAAAAATTTTTAGTAACAATTTTTTACATCTGGCAACGCATAGCTACTTTGTTGGTTGGTATCTATGTACTCACAAAATGCAGGTGTGCAGAGATAAACAAGTGTGTAACCAGTGGCGTATCACAAAAAATATAAAAAACTTCTAATGCATATTTTTTCTTTATCTTTGGAAAAATGTTTTTTTTAAATATTTTTCCTTTATTCCTTATGTCAAAAGGTATTCAGTATTTTAATATATAACATTAATTACATAACACCCTGTATATGATGAACTTTCGTAGAGGTTTATTTATCCTAAATTATAAATATGCTGTGAGGGGCAACATATTAAAAAGTGCAAATGGGAGATCATTACTAATAAATTATTATTATCATAATAAAAATGTAATAAATAAAGTAAAATAGGAATTAATGGTTTTAATTTATAATTTAGTACCATTATTAAGTACCTATTATTACTGCAATATAAAATATATATCCATCCAAGCTTTCTATAAGTCTATAAGTTTTATTATTGTCAAAACTCAATACAGTATTCGATTATTTTCCAGGCTGTAAAAATAATTTAGACCAATCAGGTGAACATTTTTACATCCTAGTCTGTAAAAACCCGTTATCACTAATCACAAAATTAAAAACTTATTAGCTCTAAAGCTATCCCAAGCAGCAAAAAGTTACATGATTTGGGCAACGATTATATAACCTAAATCTAACAAATTTAATTGATGGTGATAAGCAAAAATAAAAAATAAGTTTTAATATTTATAACTTTTAAAATACATAATATTTTATTTTCTTATATTTTTTATTAAAACTAAATGCATATGCAATCTATGTAACTTATAACTTTGCAATTTTTAAATTTTAAGTTTAAATTTTATTAAATTATGTAAAATAATATTGATATTATGTACCTATATTAAGTTAGATGATAAACAAAAATCTACTTGCAAAGCATGTCTGAAAATTTGTATTGTTTTAAAAAACTTTAAATGAAATAGAATATAACATTACGAAAAGTTTGATTATGACAGATTAGATATTATATATATTGGAATATTATTTATTTAAAATTTATATATGCCGTTGTTTTAAATAAATAGTTTGTTTGTTTAAACTATTTACGTTTACCCACTTAAAAATAAGAATATTTGAATTTTTAATATTAGTTTTATAAAAACTATCCCCTTGGCTTTTAGGGTCCTCATACATATTATAATATTAACATTCTTATAACATTTTATGCTGTCTATGTTGAATTCCTATCATACAAAATTAATATAACTATAATGAGACCAAATTATTGGTATTTAAAAGTTAATTTAAATTTTAATAAGCAAATCAAATACAGCAGTCAATCCAGACAATAGAGCAACTAATAACAATATTACACCAACTTAAGTAACCTCGCCATATGATTAATGACATTACCGAACCTCTAATTAATTGTGATATTGTAGCAGTAAAAAAATTAATTTATTTATACCTAATCAAACAGAAGTAAACAATGTTAAGTGGCACAAATCCAGTCCACTAAATCAGTTGTTATCTAGAATTGTACCAATGTAACTGAAAGGAAAATGAAAGTTTCGTCAAACGAGGGTTAAATCGACTACAATCTCATGTGTGCGATTTTGATTGTTCGATTTCATAATATAACAATTTAAAAAGAATTCGTTATCATATCAATCAAATAATATATATATATATATATATTGAGTCGTTGCGATATTTTTTAATGATTGTTTTCGTTTGTCAAAAATGGTGAATGCGCCGAGTTTAATAACACTTGAGGCCACAAAATTATCACATTTTCCCAAAATGTATTAAAAAATGACTTTTGTGGATTTTGTCTCTCATTCTTGCATAAATGACTGTTGTGGCAAGTTCTCAGGATCCTGGTAAGAATTTTAGGGATTTAATATATAAATTGATAGCACTTAGGCTTTAATTTTTTAATTGTTCTAAATCTAGAATAAATATTTAAAAATTCTCAGGATCCTGTAATTTTGTTTCTTTTTGTTTTTAAAACTCACCTACTTTTTTTTGTTAAAATATGTTGTTTACAGTAATTTATAAAGTTCTTAAGGTCTTACCTTACTATAGAAGTATAGATCACAAAATTGATCTATTTTTTGATATTTTTTAACATAGACTAAATTACATCTATCTATGCGTATACTATAGATAAACTATAATAAACGTTAATTTCAGTCCAGTTTTTCTTTTATTCTCAGTTTTCTGGCACTTGATTTTCTTCATTGCCTATAAATCTGTAATTATTAAATATCTTAACTAATTTACTTAACAAAGGCTAAAAGATGTTATATTTTATATCGGCCAAATTCCAAAACTAGAATGTTTAAAATATGTCAGGCTAAAATGCCTTGTTTGGTAAAACTACGAAGTTCTGGTACAATTTTTTTTAGATATTACCAGAAATATAATGTGTGTATAGTGGATTTGTGAGAAATTAGCAACACAAAATTTGCATTTAAAATGTGGTATTTTTGTAATGACTTCATTTTTAAAATTTTACTCTTTTATTAAGGACTAAAAAATTGTAAAATTTCCAATAATTTTTTTTAGATTCACCAGTTACAATAAAAAAAATAATTAGTTATACAGGGTGTCCCATAATCCCATAACACGTACAAAAAAGATAGGATGGTTTTACCCTTACTCCCTATCTATCTGACCCACCCCTTATGGAAAATTTGAAATTGTTATTATTACATATTATTGGCCATAAAAAATTTGATCAATTTCCAAATTTTTACGCGCTCACTGTAACTACATTTATATAATATGTATAAATACACCTGTTTGATTCCATAACTGTAATTTATTTTTAATTTATATTTTATTATTTAATTACCTTACTGTTTACAGACAATTCTGATTTATTATAGGTATTTTCATAACCGTTTTAATACTTACTTAATTATAATAAAGGATTTACTTTCACAAAGAAATTTTTTAACTTATGTTAAATTGGTGATTATTTTACTCTAATTTAAATTGGTTTCATAATAAGTTCTTAAAAGTAGGTACTTAAGCGAAAAAAGAAATAAGTACTTTTATCTTACACTGCACCAATTTTTATTAACAAATTTAAAAAATTTGCTCCTGCTCTTTACTTTTTCTTACTCTTAAAATTGTCCATCTTATTGTTATTTTTAGAAAATTTAGAATATGTAAAACACAATTTATTTTATCAAAAACAAGTAAATCTGAATTAATAAACTTCAACACCGTGTTCCTTGTGTGCTGCTGTTCTCGGACAGTGTTGCCAGATTTAAAAATATTGGTCTAAACGTTTACTTTTTGCTTGTACGTACGCCCACTAGAGTTCTTCGGACTGTTGAATTCTGAATCAATGGAGATGTCAGTTTAAACATTATTACGTAGGCGAGTTGAACTACAAAGGCAATATTTAAATTGTATTGAATTGTATTGAATAATAATGGGACAATTTCTTTTCTTATTGACTTTTGAATAGACCTTTTTATTATAAAAATCGCATTTAATTATCATAAAATTACACAGTGAAATTAAAGACATATGTTTTTTCCTGAGAAGTTATAAATACAACTCATTATTTTTCTGTCGCCTTTAAAGTAATCTATCTATATTGAAGGAATATACGAGCTGTATAGATGCAAAACTTAGTTTTTACAGAAATTTACTTCAATTTTTATTTCTCTTATTATGTGGTAGGAGTGTCGGAAAAAATACGAAAAAATTGAAAAAAAAATTTTTTTTCTTTTTTTGCCAGGCATTTTAAAAATTGACTTATTTTGGGACAAATTGAATTTATGATTTGAATATATGCTTTTTCTCATTTTTTTTTTAAATTTTTTGAATTTTTATAAAAAATCTTGTTTGAAAAAAAAATTATGATTTTTTCCCACTTTTTTTGGATTTTTTTTCAATTTTTTTTTAATTAATTTAAAAATCTGAAACTTTGGGACTACCTTTAGAAAAGTAAAAAAAACTTGTTTGAAAAAAAAATCATAAACAATTATGACTTTTTTGGGATTTGTTCTAATTTTTTTTAAAAGTGGTCAGGGCTCAGGTTAAAAATTAATTTTATCTATTTTGCTTTCATAATGACTTCATTATAACACCGCTTTCGGTTTATAGGTTGGCTATACTTTAAACAGCATAATATTTTGCATATTGGTAATAATATTTTTATGATTTTTCTAGTACTTACGAGACTTTTCTGGCAATAAATTTTGTTTAACACCAAAGGAAATCCTTTTTTTCCTCTTTAACATTAACAGCTGCTTATTGTAAATAAGTAAATTAAGGACGGCATGGCGAATCGATTTTGACATTAACTGTCAAACCAATGACTGTGACCAACTATCTAAAGTAAAATTCGACCAAATTAAATTTAAGGTATAAAATTAATTTTTTGTATAGAATTTTTGCAAAAAGATAAAATAGCATAAAGAACTCATTAGTTCTTTAATATATTATTAAAATCTGAAACTTGGAAATCCCTTCACAAATCTTGTTTGAAAAAAAATAAGATTTTTTCCTTTTTTTACGGATATTTTTTGATTTTTTTGAAAAGTGATTAAAAATTAATTTAAAAATCCGAAATTTTGGGAGTACCTTCAGAAGAGTAAAAAAATAAAAAACCTTGTTTGATAAAAAAATTATGACTTTTTCCCACTTTTTTAGCATTTGTTCTAAATTGTTTTAAAAAAGTGGTTGGGGAGTAGCTTAAAAGTGAGATTAAATTTTGTTTAAAAAAATATGATTTTAACACTTTTTTTTATTTTTTTTTAGTGGTTAAAAATTAATTAAAAATCTGAAATTTTGGAAGTACCTTTAGAAGAGTAAAAAGTAAGAAAAAAATTTGTTTAAAACAAAATAATGACAAAAAAAAAATATTCGGGGCTGGGGTTTTAAAGTATAGGAAAAACCGGTAAAACCGGTTAAATTTTTCTGGAGTCATACATAAACTTTTCTCGATCTAAAACTGAGGTGTCCTAAAGTTCATGATCAAACCCACAGTGCAATAATAAAACAAAGTAAATGTTAATTTTATTTTTACTGCTTTAACAATTTGACATTATGTGGTAGAGATAATGAAACTAGATCTGTTACAAACGAGAGTTTTTTCCAAGCCATTTAGATGTTTAATTGCCAATTCACAATCGATATTGCGTGTTTTGTGTTTTAATGAAACACCGTGCAGTTAAAACAATGTTATGTGAGTTGGACTTTGCAGATAATGCAAATTTCTTGTCACAATTGCTGTGTTCATTTATACTTGGTTGTGTGTTTTATAATATTTTTTTGTTTGTTTCAGAGGCCTAGCGATGCCCTATACGAGAATGAAAAGAATATTTCTGCAAGGTAAATATTTTTTTACGGTTAGGCTTGCAAAAAGACATATAAATGGCTAGGCAGTAAACATTAGTTGTACTTTTTTAACGAAATAATTTGTTATACTACGTTTGATATTAGCAAAATTACCTTAACAAAACTTTCGGTAAAATATTTTCCTATAATAATTACAAAAAAAGTATGTTAAAATTTTACAAAATAAAATTAACAGGCTAAAAATGACTAATTGTCATGGGAAATAGTAAAAAGTAATAAAACAACAATTTCACAAAAATCGCAGAAACAATTTAATAAATAAAATAGATATAAAAAGATATTTTGTAATAATAGTATATTAAACTACACATATATTATTAGTAAGATTTGCTGATGCCGGCAAAATGTCAAGGGTTTTTAAAGAGATGATTTAAAGATAGGATCAATACGCATTTCATTTTATTTACAAGGTGCTTGAAAATATACCCTTTTATTTTTTGATCCGATTTACACAGTAAGAGATAGTAAGAGTTGATTTGTAAGTGTAAAAGTTACACTACAAAATACACTAGGTAGCATTTAGTGCTTATTAACTTTATTAAACACATGTAAAGAATATGAACATTATTCATTGGTACATTCACACTATTTATTATTAAAATAAATCAAAAGGGTAGAAAAACTTAATGCGAGTGTTTATTACCCCTTAATGTTTTAAATAGTGACAAAATGTACACTACAGTGCATGCCAATTTCTTTGTCTGTTTTGATGTTACTAAGAGCTCTTTTTTCTTTACACTACTAGTGCACATTGTATCACAATTAAAGTTAAATTACATCAATAGTGGCAAAATAGACTGAAAAAACTGGTAATAATCGAAATGCGTTTTAAAATGTTTGGTTGGTAACTATCTACCTACGCAGTGCATATCCGGAGATACCGCGTTGTGGAAGTGTGGCATTTTTGTTCAGTTATATTTTAATTACGATGAATCCATAAGGGGACATTCTTATTGTTTGGTTAGTATTATACTTCCTTTTTCTTTAAGCCTTAATACTCAATAAATACCAATATGTTAAAAGGATGTTCATACCCGACCTATATTATATATCAATAATTTACGGCAGTAGGTCGGGTACTTGTAACATTAATAAATACATACACACTTGATTTACTTTTTATTTTCAAGCCATTATTGTTATATTACCTGTACCTACATTTTTATTAATATTGTGGAAAATTTGTACACGTGTGGTAAATCCCCGACATACAGCCGCCTGACGCCTCTCTACCAATGGGATCACCCATTTTTTATAACAGAAAAATGGATTACTGATGAATTTTCAAGATAATTCATTGCTTACAAGTTGACAGCCAGTAAAACATTGCATTGATCTAAAACTTTTACGTTTCCTGTGTGAACTCTAATTAGTGTTGCTTAGAGTTGATTTTTTTTTACTGTGTATATAGAAAAAATGAAATTTTAGTATGTTAAACAAGACAAAAAATACTACGTTTTTACCTAAAAAAAATTAAAAAAGTAAAAACTTCATAAAAAAACGTAAACCTAATATTTTTAAATTTACTTAATGTTAACGCTTTCATATGTTTTCAAATTTCTGGGACACCCTGTATAAATGTACGTATAGAAACTAATAAACTGCATTCATAGGAAATACCATGGATTTTATGGCATTTTTTATGAATCAGTAATATTATAGATCAAGGAAACTTTATTCTTAAAATGATTTCAACATCTTCCATCCATGCAGTTTTTTGATACCATATGTAACACGAAGGTTATAATATAAAGCGTTTATTGGATGAAATTTAATAACATTCCAGAAAATAACGGAAATACCTTTATTTTGTTGTAAGTTGTATTATCAAATATCTTATTATGTTGGATTAGTCCACAATTTCTTTAAAATATGTAACACGAATCATTCGAACAAGGTTAACGACTATAAAAAATGTAAACAATCTGTATCTTAATTTAATATAAGTTTACCTAACAGTAAATATTAGTTTTTATGGGTCTTATTACTTTGATTATTTCCCTCATTATAATATGAACCAATCAAAAGCCTTGAATTTTCGAATAAATTTCGTTTAAATAAGCGATTAAATCACTAGACCTATTTAACAGCGATTAAATTTTAGCCTCCATATTGAATTTTTGTTTACGATTTTATGGTGTTATTTACAAGTTTTAACAAACATTTTTTAAAAAACAATAAAAAATAAGTTATCTAGTTTACGAAATATCAATTATTACTTATAACATACCTTAAATTAATGGAATTTTCTTTAAAAAAATATTTATAAATTTTGACACATACGTCAGATTTTATGAATTGTCAAATAGTTTCCTTCAATTCGAGAAATAATCTAGATGTATAACACTCAACCTATAAATTTAATCTGTCAAACTATGTTCAGTAAGTTTTTTATTTGATTTTTCTTTTTGGAAAATAGTTTCATGCAAAATAATTAAAAATAAAACCCCTCGACCGCTACGCGGTCTCGTGATTTTATTAAATTATTTTGCATTCAACATTTTCCAACAAAAAACAAAAAACTACTGAGCCTAGTTTAACCGATTAAATTCATAATTCTCGTGATATAAAATATGATTATTTTTTTCATAGTAAACTTGATACAGTTCGTTGAGCTTGTTATCAACAAACCAACTCAGCACCTCTACACAATCAACTTGACAATTTGTATGCTCCATGGACTCCGATATTTACACAGTCAATTCTTTGCCAATGTTAGAGGATATTAGCAAACAATGCGCAGGGTCATGCTGTCGCTAATAAATTTCGCTTAGATCGGTGCGCCTATCATAAAACGCTTTTCTAAATTATTACGTTGCATAACTTTTTGATATAATTCACCATAATCGGGTCACACATTTCCAGCATGGCACTCTTAATGCTAAGTTTGTTGTTGTTTGTCTGTGCTTATCAGACCGATTTAAATGGATTCGATTAGGAGCTCTCACTAAGTAAAAGAGTCTGCAAATACAATCATATAAGGTATCTGTTAATCTCAGTAATATAAATTATATTAATGCATTATGAAATGTTAACATTTTTTCTTTATCAGAAATTAAAAGTTGTTTTCTACGTAAGTATGTTGATTTTATACAAAATCAAATCTAGTTAGTTACTTAGTTTTCATGTCAATAAGTGTCAAACAAAGTGAAACGTCATAATATACGAGGTGTGTTCAGAAAATAACAGGAATTGTTAAATTTCTCGGGTTCGGAGGGTCCGGTTGTCATAAATTTTTCTGTATTATGTTGGTATACATGCCCCCGAAGTATGATAAAAACTTTAGTTGTTTTCATTGTTTACTTTGTCTGTGGCAGCCGCTAAGGTTAGACGTGTTTTATGAGCTCGGCGATTTTTCGTTCGTTAAAAGAAATGGATCAAAGAATTTGTATCCAATTTTGCTTAAAAAATGAAATAAATTCTGTGAAATGTTAACAAAGGCCTATAGTGAGTCTGCTATAAGTAAAACAAGAGTTTACAAGTGGTATAAGAGTTTCCAAGATGGCCGTGAAGACGTTGAGGATGACGAACGCCCCGAACGTACAAGCACATTAACAACCGATAAAAACATGAAAAAAGTGGAAGAAATGGTTATAAACCATCAGAGAAGTCGCTGATGAAGTTGGTATATCGATTGGCACATCCCATGAAATTTTTTCGAATGTTTTGAGCAGCAAAATTTGTTCTAAAATTGTTAAATTTTGAACAAAATTTTTGGCCAAAAACAATACTGCAATGATGCCCCAGCCTCCATATTCGCCAGACATGCCTCTGTCTGACTTTTTCCTATTCCCAAAAATAAAGAGAACCTTAAAGGGCCGTCGTTTTGCAAGCATAGATGACATTAAAAGCGCATCGCTGAAAGAACTAAAGGCTATCCCAAAGATCGAGTTTTAGAAGTGTTTCGAGTATTGGAAGAAGAGCTGGCACATGTGCATAATATCAAATGGGGACTATTTTGAAGGCGACAACATTAATGTAGACGAATAAATAAAAAACGAAAATTCCCGATATTTTATGAACACACCTCGTACATACCATATATGCATATGCAATCTCAGTATTTTCTTTTTTGTTTATGTGTTTAAAATGCACTATTGGTAAAACTGTTGCATTGTCAATTAAAATGCCTCTAGCGGAGATTGGATAAAGCAAACATATTATTAATAACTTCCTCTAAATTTTAAACACCATGTCTCCCAGTAGGGAACAATTATGCAAGAAGTTTGCAAATCAATGATAAAAAATCTTTTACAACTCAATTAAGACACCTACTAATATAACTAATAACATTAAGATGTTCAATAAAAAATACTGAAAAGGTCAGTTATGCAAATAATAAACCACGAATATTTCAGTAGTGAGTAAATACAAAGGTTAAATAGTTATATGGTTCTCATGATAAGATGTAATGTAAAATTATAATTAATAATTAAGTCAATGGGAAGAATTTTAATACAATCATTTTAGTAATAGAAAGTTAATTATAAAATGTATTAAGTTAAATGATCTATTCTGGGTTTTATTTTATGGGTTCTTGCAAAATTTTAAAACACGTGTTACACTGTTCAAAATTTTAGCTAATTTTTACCTAAAATATTAGACTATATAGGACCATTGATTTTTTAAGGCAAACTGCCTGAAATGAATTCAGAGGAATATTCTCCTTTTAAATTAGTGAATTCTTTAACTGATATTTTTAAAGAAAATGATACAATTAATTAAGCAAAATTACTTAGGTTTCAAAGATGATACACCTTAGATCGTAAGGGATATTGCCTGAGAATAAAAGAATAAATTTCCTGTTTCTAAGGCAATTTGCTTAAATTTTTAGGTAGATTATATATATTTTTAGTGAAAATCCTCTTATTTTTCACGGTAAATTTATCTAATTTTTTTAGATATACCCTTTTTTCGGGTAATTTTCTACCAATTTTTTAGTAAAATTCTACTAACTTTCTAGTAAAATTTTACTTATTTTCTAGTGAAATTCTACTATTTCATTAAATAAAAATATAAGGGGAACAAGAATTGGCGGTGGGGGCATTTAGGAGAGAAGATATTTATAATGTCATTTTTTTCTCACGCATTGCTTTGATAATATACTATTTTGGAAATATACTATTGTAAATTTTAAATATTATTGTAAAAAGTTACCGATAACCTAGTAGTGTTTATCCCTATATCGAGCAATGTAAATGAGAAAAGAATGACATTATAAATCCCCCTTTTAAGTGCTGATGGGTAAAATAAAAAATACATTTATTTTAGTTAAATTGAAAATGTATATTAATAAATATGTACAAATAAAAAAAATAAAAGTAACAAAAACGACAATAAAACTTATAGGTATACCTACTTTATAAGTTTAATAAAGTTTCTTTTGGCATAGGAATTTTCTTCCAAGTTAGGACTCCTTTATCTTTATGTCCTAGGCGAATTAACAACGGCGGTTCCGGTACTACAGGGTTGGGATTATTTAAAAATAAATTGGGGTCAATGGAAAATTCCATTTAGTTTGGATTACTTAACTATAGCACTTCAAAATGTTCACTTATAGCACAATATTTGTTAACTGTTGTTATATCAATAGCACACAACGCGGTCTTTACGTTTTCGTTGATTTTGGCATTCTGGTGGACAATATAGGCGCGAATATTTATCGTAAAACGTCGGTATTAGCGATCGTGGCCGATTGTAAGTAAGTCACTAATATTTAAAGGAATTTACCTAAATTAGTTCAATAATTTGCCATAATAACTTAGAAGAATTACCTAAATTAAAAGCAAAATTGTCGTACCTAAAAGTCATTGAGATTTTGACTAAATATTTAGGTAATCTGCCTATCTTTTTAAATTTGAGAAGTTTATTAAGTAAAGTATGAATATTTATCTAGAAGTAAGTGAATACACCATAGAACAAAGGCATTAGTTTCTGCCTAATAAACGAGAAGGTAAATTGCTTTACTCGTTTAAGCATATTACCTTATTTTTTCTTAACTAATTCTGATTAGGTATTTCAAAAGGCTTGATTTTGAACAGTGTATTAGGAATATACTGTGTGTGTCAGCCAAATGAAATAAGTTCGATAATAAATAAATGAAACGTGGTATTTTTAGTTGCGAATTTTTTTTTAACAAAAACTTTTTGTACAGGGTGTCTTGTAGCAGTGGCCAATACCTACTTTCTTATTTTATGCAGCACCCTGTATATTATTAAACTCTTGGATTCTTTAGAAAATTTTGCCATTTGTTAAATCTATTATTTATTCTTTACAGTGTGTTCAAACTGTTATTAAATAATATATCCTTTATTTAATTTTTTACAGCTTATAGTATACAGTGTTGCCAAGTTTTTTTAAATTACTTAATAACTCGAAAAAGTTATATTACTCCACTTTGCCATATAATAAAATTATATAATACCATAGAAAAACTCATGACTTGAAAAATGATTTAATAATAATATTAATAATTAATATTAAACAAATAAAATAATTGCACAGTTACTTGCGTTGTAGGCGTGAGTTAGCAAACGTTCTCAACGACCTTCACCTTAAGAAAAGTGCTAAACAGTAAAAGTGTCTCTAGGTCAAAAAAATTTTAATGACGGATTGTATCGTGGATAATTATAATTAATATTTGGATGTGCGTTATAAAAAAGAGAAAGGAAAATATTTAAAGAATCACTTCGTTCATCTAAATTAATTTTTCGATAAAATGTTCTAATTTGTATTAAATATTACATTTTTAACTTGGTTTTTCATTAAATAGACAAGTTTAAACATATGCTTGTATGTATGAACTTAAAATATTTCTTAAAATTTTGTTCACAATCATAAGCAAAAATAATAGAACTGACTGTCTCCCATGTGACATACGACAGACCAAATGAAAGCTTAAATAAGATAGCCATCATTTTCTAGACATAATAAAAACTCAGTTTATTAATTCTTAATAATTCGTGCTCGCTTTATGAGGAAACAAAAGACTTGTTTAATTTGACGTTTCCGTATCTTAGCTCACGAAAATATGCGTGTCATGAAATAATAAAATTACATAGGAAGATACTGTCTTTAAATTATTTTTTAGTTAAATAACAACTATAGGTAAATATAAAATTAAATTTAATCAATAATTTTTGCAATTTGCCTATTTACATGTTCAGTGTGTGGTTTATTAAATAAAACAATAATAAAGCTCTAAAACCTTTAAATAGCAAACAAATATTATCATTAAATTTCATAATTTTACGAAATTTAGACTATTAAGTCGTTAGACAATTATTTATTACCACAACGGTATAAACACAATGTAATTACTCATAATTATAATTAAATAAATTTGTTTATCTAATTTATAATTTATAAGCCAGTTAACCTATAATTTTAAACTTTTTTCTTTTAGTGCTGTTGTTCCATAAAATTTCGTCTAATTGCAAACGATTTTGTAATTATTAATAAAAATAAAATATGAAAGTTTCGTGGTACAATGTATTTTGTCTGGACAACTCCATAAAATATGCTATAAACGACAAATATTATTTATTGGAATAATAAAGACACAAAATTTATATTATTTTCATCATTATTGATATTTATTATTAGACTTACTTGCAAAATTGGCGAATGCGCCGGGATAGTAAAATAAAAAGTTTGTAGGGTAAAGTCGGTAATAATATAGAACTATTTTATTTTGGGTCCAATATGGGACAAAAAAGTTCGCACGTTACTTTGGTGGTAAGATTTTTTTTTGTTATGAGCAGGGCTGAGTTTAAATTACAATAAATAATATTTCTAAAAAGTGTACAGATCAGTGTGTGGTATAAATGTGTTCCTCATGGTTTAAACATTGTCACTTTAATGAGTTTCAATTTTAATTCTGAAAACAAACAGTAAAATGGCCAGTGTCCAATTACTGGTTGGTAAAAAATGTAAATTTTTATTATTGGACATATGTCCAATATCATACTCTATTTGTATCCCGGACATTTACCAGTCAATTCTTATGTTAAATTGTCCCCTAAATTCGAAAAAAAACGTCAAAAACTATAAAAGTTTAAGATATAGTCAATTCCATATTACATGTAAAATTAATTATATTTTAAAAACTGCTCTACTTTTATAACTTTTGACGACATTTTCTGATTCAGCGAATAATATTTCATTGAAATTGACTGCTAAATGTCCTGGATACAAATTGCTGTTGACGAGAATAATTAGTGGCTGCTTTTTCGCTGTGACATTTTTGACTAATTCATTTTTAAAGAGTAAGTAATATAGTGATTTCTTCGTCACAGGACATCTTGCAGAATAACATTGATTTAAATACAGTGCATGATAGAAAACATAAAAAACTAATGGCAACAAAATTAATAAATTCGGAAAATACTTTTAACATACCACCCGAAAAATATTAGATATATATATATACATATATAAATCACCATGTTCCGGCCTAAACAGATACCACACTTAATGATATTTGCAACAAACTATTTTAGAAGTCAGACCAAGGGATTAGTAGTTACCTTCAGAATCCAGTAAACGGATAAGTAATCCGAGAAAGAAATATATGAATTATATGACATTTACAAAAACGAAATAAAAATACCTAAAATAGCAATTTATCTTTAAAAAATATTTATTTTAAAGTAAACGTGAATAAAGTTTAAACAAACAAACTATCCTTTTTATATATTTATAAGAAAAAAACTAAAATATTTAAAACATCGGCATATATAAATTTTAAATAAATAATATTCCTTAAATTATGACAAAAACTATTGCTTATTAAAAAAAATATTTTTTCTGTTTTTAGGTCTGCTATGGCTGTACCTTTTAGGATTTGGTTATATGGCTCTATCACTTAACGCACCTGAAGTAAGTATTAATACATAAAACCACATACAATACTGCCCCTCCAAAGATAAAAAACGCTTGTTGAAAATTTTATTGCAATTTTTTTAACTTAAAATATACCCCCTAAAAATTTGTTAATTTAAAAAAAATAGTTATTATAGGCAACTACTTATGCAATGATGTATTGGAATATCCTATATAATTTTATTACCACTAGAATTTTTAATTAATATATCCAAAAAATTTAGGTGTAAGTTACCTAAAATGCCAATTCTCACATTCAAAAGCTTTATTCTTGTTAGACAGTTAATTTAATGAATCTTTGTCTTAGTTTTCAATCGCATGAAAAGATTTATCACATTGTCATGTAACTGCATATTGGGTTTTTGTATTGATAAAAATCTCTTTTATAATATTGTGATTATGACAAGTTTATTACTTGTTAAAGAGAGCTTGAATGAAAAATTTATACGAACCATTACTCAAGAATTTAATAGCTGTATGCACAAAACATAGTTGATTTACGACAACACTATAAAACCGATTTAAAGTGTATAGTAGCAATTTTTTTTATAAAATTTAAAAAAAATATTTTTTTAACCAATTAATTACAAGGATAATGGACAGTAGGTATAAGTGATACAATGTATGTAAGTGACAATGAATCACGTTCATTTATAATTAAAAATGTCGAAATCTAAGATGAGCAACTAGGATGTTACACAAGCTAACTATCATTTAAATATTATTAAGGATACGTACATAAGTATTTAGTATTTTTAATTAATACTTTAACACGTTGTCATTGCCATATATGCCTAGGAAAATTAATATTTCGCATAAATAAATTTTCTTCAATAGTTATTTTTGTTGATTGTCAATATTATGGCACTTTTTCAATGGAAATTAACCACATGGCTATCCGGTACTGATGAGGCCCAAAAGACCTGCAAATTTGTTAAAATTTGTTCGATTTAAAATTTAGACTTAACTAACATTGTTTGGTTAAAATTTGGACGATCCCAATATTTAAAATACTTACACGTTGAATCAGCTCGTGTCATTAGCATAAAATAATAGTTTATAATATGAAATGTAAAGGTTACAAATTTTTAAAGAAATGGTCATACTCTTATCAAGGATCAATCGCACCTATCTGAACCTACCTATTAAAGCACAGTGTAACACAGTATTGTTTTTTTCATAATTAAATTATGTGATCAATTGCCAACGTTAATTTAAACTAAGTAACAAAATTACAAAATTCATTAATTTAATATTTCCCAATCAACACAGTAAACGTATTATTACAAATCAATTACTGCTAGACTTTCAGTCCACTTAATACTAAGCTAACTATTTATAATCTGTCAAGTTATACTTTGATTTAGCCATTATTACAATTTTTTATTCATGTAAAGCCGTTCTTGCTCATTAAACATACATAACTAATAATTATCAGGGTAAACAAATATATCGAAATAAGGCATTAAATGAAAGTTCGAAAGAATTACCAACAAATTTAATGTTCATGCTTAATAAGTTACTGCACTTTTAATATTCACATTGATATTTCGATGACATTTATATTGTTATAAATAGAGGATACAGAAGACCTATTGCAGTCATTTATAATTACGTATTTGTAGAGATATTTCGTTATGATTTTTGTAGTTTTTGTGAATAGTTTTCAGTAGTAGTACTTCACAATCTATAATTGCCTTTAGAAATTCGGTCTTTCAGGATAGATTAATGGAAAGATTATATTATTTATTGAAAGTTAATAGAGTAACAAAATAAAACATATATTACATTACTTTGAACCTTCTGATTAAAGATATAAAGCAGTTTTTACACAGTAAAAAAATATTTTTTAATTTTAACCAAATATTAACCAGATTTATGTTAATTCAGGTCCACATAACTTTATGTTAGGTTTATGTTAGGTAATCTGTTATTTAATTGAATAATTTAACCATAATTCTTGTAATTTTAAAAAAGGACCTTATTTTTACAAACCTTTTTAAAGACCCAGTAACAAAAGTATTTGCTGGAAATTCAGAACTTAAATGATAAAAATTTTGATATGTTGCTTTATTAATTAATTTTCTAAACAAAAAATTAACCCAAACCTACATAAATGAACAAAAAAAAACATACACTCTCTAAAAATGAATTAGTCAAAAATGACTAATTGTCATAGCGAATAATCCTCGTCAATAGCAAATTTTATCCCAAGTCAGTTGAATAGTTTTTGAGATATAGTCAATTTTCCATTTAATATGGAATTGACTATATCTCAAAAACTGCTTCACTTAATTTTTAACTGTATTTTCGGATTTAGGGGACAATTTTACATAAGAATTGTGTCCTGGTATCCCATGGACAAGCATGCTATAAGTAAAAAAGCAGCCACTAATAACTGTAGTAATTAGTAATTTTTGATTAATTAATTTTTAGAGAACACACAATAAAATAACAAACCATTCTGAAATCATCAAATTTTAAAGAAATTTGGTACAATATAATTATCACTATAACACTTACTGATGTATTTCGTAACTTTAACCCACTTCACTGTATCCCCTAAGTTTAGCTTGAAAACGCACACAAGAAACTTGACGACCCTTTGCAGTCGAAAATCTTTCAAACGGTCTAACTCATTTTTTTTTAGTTTTTGGATTTTGACAACTTGCCAGATACCAACTTTTCCTGCGTTGGAAAAGTAATAGGAGGGTACTATGCCGATCTAGAGACGAACTGCCAAATGTTCCATGTTTGTACCATTGGGCAGCTGGACGAGCCAATGGACATACGATTTTTGTGTCTGAATGGGACGGTTTTCGACCAGGTTAGTAAACAACAAAAATGGTATTTCACCTTTATGATTGTTATGTTTTTAGGAAACTCGAGTCTGTGAAAGGATAGACGAAGTTGACTGCGCCAAATCAGAGCGGTTCTACAGCCTAAATCTGGAGTTGTATGGAAATAGTCAACCCTCACTTTTAGAAGGTTTTTTATTCACTCATAATCAAACTTATTTCTTATATCATTATTTTTAGAATCCCCAGAGACTGAAGCCCCGCTGATAATAAAATCAACCGCCCCACCTACCACAACAACCACCAGAACAACGACGACGACGTCACGAGCGACGCCTAAAACCACGCGGGCGTCCTTCTACACTACCGTATCGCCGACGCCCATAACGACGCCCAGAGCCATCCACCACCACTTTCCCAGTGTCAACTCCAACTCCCCTGACATCAGATTCAACCCTGAAGAAATTAACATTAGTTTGAACCCTGGTGCTCCCCCAGATATAAGGACAAACCCTTTAAGTTTTCATAGTGGAAAAAACAGTAATAATAATAATAAAGTAATAGTGAATGAGGAAAGTCAAGAGAATGAGCAAATATTGACGCACCAAGAGAGTGATAGTCTACGATTACCCTTAACGACACAAAAACCGAAATCTGTGGTTAGTTATGGTTTAACCCACAACAATAATAACAACAACAACCACCATCAAAGTGTGACACCTTCCGATATAAACTTTGGCTTCACATTCCATCAAGATGATCAAGACGATCAGGAATACCAAACGGAACCGGAACACAACTATCACTACAACTCCAACTTCAGACCGAGTTTTCAATTCAAACCTTCCACGTACAGGAACGATTACGCCCCCACCACTTTACGCAATAGATACCAACCCAAACCAACCACTATTCGCCCCCATTATCTGCAACTGCAGTCCCTTAAACCCCCCCACCTTCATCCACATCATTACCATCAACAACTACGCACTGAAAAACCTCAGAGATTGCAACTACCTCTCCCCTTACTCCCAACTTTATCCCCCCTTACATTCTCCTCTCCCGCCCCGTTTAGCCTTCCGCGGCACATCGAGATCAAAAGGTACACTAAAGACCATCAGGAGCCACCTAGAATCATCATAAGCGCCAGTGCCAGCGTCAGCGACAACAGCGGCAGAAGGTTGAACTACTCCTTGGGCCAAATAGGGGCCGCGCAAATCTTGGATCAGCCCCCGCAAAGTTACGATGAGTATAAAGACTCCGACGTTGGTTTAGATCCTTTTTATCACGACGTTCCAAAGGTTAAACGTAGAAATAAAAGATCACCACAAAAACATTTCGACATAATCAAGAATGAACAAGAGGCTGTAGATGTCTTGAAATTTCTATTCGATTGGTATAAAAGCCATGAACAAACTAGCACCTTAACAATACCTGTTTCGCCAAAAGTAATCACAGAAATTAATGATGAATTTTCATCAGCCACAATTGAGACACCGCATAGTCCACATGTAGAACCTAAAATAGACAGGACGCATATAGAGTCCACCACAACTCTGAGCACCAAATTCTCCAGAGGTAGACGACGATATAACAACAGATCCAGAGGCAGAAGTAGGTTTAATGATAACACACAAAATAACACTCATATAGAACAACACGATGTACAAACTAGTACCACGGTTAAACAAGAAATAATCGCTGATGAGATATACCACGAACCAGAAGTTACCCACGAACATAAAGATGATAAATCGAACTACCATTTAGAGAGTGTAATGCAAGAAGAGTTGGTAACAACACCCAAAGAACAAACAGAAATTGTAGATACTGTAACTCTACCACATTTAAGATCTATTTTAAATCAAAACCAAGCAACTCAACCTGAAGTTCAGCCTATAAATTATGAAGATTATGATGTACCTGAAGCTCCTATTACTACTACTTATCAAACACCAGAGAATCCTAAAAATATCGCACAACAAAACGATGACAATCTTAACATAGGAGAACAAATATTAAATGAGCATAAAGAACAAATTTCCAAGCATTTACAAGATGATTACTTTAATCAAAGTACCTTTAATCAACCACCTCAGGAAAAACTTATTCCAGAAGCCAATATTCCAAATGTAGAGCATAAAGAACAAATTTCCACGCATTTACAAGATGATTACAGTGATCAAGGTGCATTTAATCATCCACCTCAGAAAGAACCTATTCCAGAAGCCAATATTCCAAATGTAAATACTAAAGAAGCTATTAGAAATCCTGAAATAAATCATCAAGAAAATATTACACCATCTTCAGAAACTCAGCATCTAGCTCAGGAAACTACAGTGAATATCGAAGAAAAGCAAGTCCATATAACACCTAAAAGTTTCAGGGGTTATTCCGCTTTTAACTCAAAACTGTATGAGGCTATACATCTTCTTAAAGATTACGTAGGTGAAGTTAAAAAGAATATTACCTCTCACAAAGAAAAGGTTGAAAGTGAATCAATATCTGAACCTATTGAAGATGTGTTAGTTGAAAATCAACCTGAAGATTTAGAAGTAAATATTGATGGTGGTGTAAGTGAACCTCAGGAAAATGTAGAAGAAGTTAAAGAAATTAATGAAGAACCAAAAGAAGTATTTCATGAACCAGTGGATCACATTCAAGAATCAATAAAAAATGATACAGATAAAGCACAATACAAAGAAATAACTCCAGTTATGGTTCCAAAAGAACTACAAGAGCACATCAACAATGAAAAACCCATAGTAGAAAGAAAGTTTAGAGGTAGGAAAACATTTAAATCCCAATTACAAGACACACAAGAACAAATAAAGGAAATAGATTTTACTAATCTAGGAATATTACCAGAAATTGCTGAAGAAAACCTTATGAAGGAAAAAATGGCAAAGATGGAAGAAATTATAAACATTACTACCACTATTGCTCCGACCACAATAACTACACAAGAATCTGTTGATAATGTTGAGTTGGCAATTTCAGAACCCATAACACCCATAACTCAAAGATCAAGGAATTCAAGAAGACGAGGTAGACCTTTAAATCAAAGGCAAAATACTGAAAATAACAATAACAATCAAAATAATAATGGCAGAAGACGTAGAAGGAAAAAGAAGCAAAGTACCACACCATCAACTATTCCAGAAGTATCCACATCAGAAAATATACCATTAACACATTTGGAAAACCAAAGTGAATTTATCATTGAAGCTGAAAGTAATAAAGAAACAAATATAGAATCAACATCGACCAAAATATCAACTAAAGACACTAAAGAGGACTTTTTAACTTTAGCCACAAGTTCTGACAACATAAAAGAAACCAAAAACAAAGGTCATGAGGAAGATTACGTAAATGATAACTATGAGCCTTTCACATATGTAGAACCACCAAAAGAAATAGCAGATGAAACCGTAGATAAAACAAATGCAACAACAGAACATACAATTAAAGAAGGTGAAGTAAAACCTTACGATTATATAAGCGAGTACGACGTTGTCGATGTTAAATATAACTTGCAACATCACATCAAAGATTTAAATACTGAATACAATGATTATAATACTGTTAATGATGATTATACTGTTAACATTACAGGTATAAATAACTTGTTTGAAGAGGTACAACCTACAATAACAATCACGTCTTCTAGTACTACAGAAATCCATACTACTCAAAATCCTAACCACATTAGAAGTAGAGGAAATACTACTTTTGCGCAATATTTAGAAGCGACTAACTCACCGATTGTTGATACCACTCCAACTACACCACTATCTCATTTAACGTTAGAAATGATTGCAACCCCATCTGCTTCCTCTACATCAAGTACTTTAGAAAGTATTCCGACAGTAAGTACTACAGAATCTATGTTAACAACAGATACAGAGCAATACTCTGGTGCAGATGGTGTTAAAACTACAGGTACTGAAGAAAGGTTTGTAGTCGATGGTTTAATACCAGAAAATATTACTTTGGGTACACTGGATGAAAGTGTTAAAGTACCTATAGCTAATGGTACTGATAATAATACCATGGTAATGCCTTTACAAGAGTATGTGAAGGATATAGAGGAGTCAACGGGTAGTATAGCTACCTCAGTGTCAACTAAGAATACTTTCGAAAAACTCTCCGATATTGAAAGTACTTCGTTATTAGATTCTACAGATGAAACATCAACTTTAGAAGAGGTTAATAGTACTACAGCTCAGTATACTACCATTATTGATACTACTACTGAAATCAGTACTACAACACAACCAAGTACCATATTGAGTACTACTACACCACCACCAAGGAGTGGTAGACGAAGAACATTCTCAAGAAATAAACCTTCTTATAGTAGACATAGATTTAGCACCCCAAATGTAACCCAAAGAACTGCATTAAAAGAAACGACTTTAGACATTCTAGAATCTTTAAAGAGTAAAACCAATGCTTACGAAGCTACAATTGAAAGTACTTCGCCAAAAAATGTTCCTATTAAAAATTTAGATACAGATGCGCCTTTATACAAAAGTGCAAGTCCGACGGAAGCTAAAAAAATTCACAGCTCCACGTTGTCCATGGTTCAGAAGAAATTAATTTTTAATTGTTTTGATAAAGACTTGAACCACTTTTATCCAGATGCAAGGGATTGCAGGTTGTTCCATTATTGTACGAATGGTTTCAATAAGAATCAGCTTCTCGATATGAAGTTCGTGTGCGATTTGAACACGTTTTTTGACAGCGAGAAGCTAATCTGCACCAAATTGAAGCCGAAGAGATGTTTGTAAATATTTTAATCAATATTGCCATTATTTTATTTTACTTTTTATTGTGATTCAACTGTAATATTTCCAAAATGCTGAATCCTGAATGCTAAATAATGTTTTAACGAATTGTACATATACTTTAAGATTTAGTTTAATACGTAAATCAATGTTTTTGTATTTTCTCATCTAAATTTTAATGATATTATAAAGTCATAATCATATTTTGTAATTATTACTTATGAATTGTTAAAAATACTCATAGATTAATATATTTAATTTAATAAAAACTAAGTAAGGAAGTTTGTTTTTCATTCCTTAGTTTCAAAATTTTCTTTTCAATACTTTTGAAAAATATGCTGTGATTTATTAGATTACACTGCTGAAAAAGTAGTAGTACTACAGCTCCGGGTACCGCTACTTTTATTACTTCTATTACTACCACTACTACTACAGAAGTCAGTACTACTTTAAGTACTACAACACAGCCTAGTACTACAAAGACTAGACGTAGAACATACTAAAAAAACCTTTTCTTACTGCATTGAAAAAAGCGACTTTAAATCATGACTTTCTGGAACTTTTAAAGGGTAGAACCAATGCTTCATTCCAATTAAAAGTACTTTGATAAAAAAAGTTCTTCTTAAAAATTTAGATACAGACTTGCCTCTAAATACAAGTTTAAGTCCAACGGAAGCAAAAAAATACAGAGCACCGCAGTCTTAGTTACGTATGCCCCTGAAGTTACATACAAAAGTTACACTATCAACAAAGATACATAAAAAATCTTTTAGATCATGAAAGTTTGTCTCTTACAATTTGTACTCCAGTAGTTTCTTAAATGAACCAGGGAGTACAGTTTATTTAATCTTGGTAGATTTAAAAACGTAGTATTTTTAAAGAGGTAAGTAAAACAACATAATATTTCTTATTTTACTTTTATTATAAAATACAATATGTACAATCTTAAAATAAGTGGACTCGTAGAAGATTGGTTCTCATTAAATAGTTTCAAAATACTGTCACATTGTTTTAATAAAAATTTAATAATTAAATTAACAGACTTAATAACAATAACTAAAAACCTAACCTAACTAGTTTTTTACTGTTGATTTCTTAAATTCCGTATCGATTTCGTACTCTGGCTCCCCACTGCTGGCATTCGAATCGTAATACGCGTAGTCGTAACTGATGTCCTTAACTTTTTTGGGGGGACTTGGGGCCGGCCTCTTCTGCTCCTCCTTGGGGGCAGCAGTGTTCTTAGTTGCTACTTGAGGGGTTTGTTTGTAGTTTGTGGTTTGGGCTGCTCTTGGTGTGTTAGCAGTTACGCTGAAAGGTCTTGGAGATTCGTAGTAGGGTTTTTGGGTTGTTTGTGGGGTATTTTTCGCGGATTTAGCCAACTCATTGCGGCTGCTCGCGATGTTTTGACTGTGAGCTGTCTTCAAGAACTCGTCGTCTTTTTTGTCGCCATCGTAGTCATATTTGGTGCTGTACGAACCATCGTCATAAGATGTTTCGTCAAATCTGTTTGATCTAGCTACAGGAGTTGTAGAGCTGATTTTTGGTACCGTCGGGGTGTACTGGGTGAAAGCTGTTGTTCTCGGTGTGCTGTTGGGTTGGTTTGTGAACTGCTTGGCGAATGGAGTTTGACTGTTTTGGCTTGGGGTCGATCTTTGATTCTGATTGTTGAAGTTATTGTATTGAGTGGTTGATTTTTGCTGTTGTTGTTGTTGATTGTATTGGCCGTTGTTTTGCTGTTGAGTGGTTGATTTTTGAGCAAAGTTCTGACTGAACTGATTGTTGAATTGTGTAGTGGATTTTTGGCTATTGAACTGCTGTGTAGTGGATTTTTGAGCAAGCTGCTGATTGTTGTTGTTGTATTGCTGATTGTTATTATTATTAGCGTCATTGTTGTTCTTGTAGTTCACGGTCTGAGCAGTGATTTGAGTGTAGGCGGCATTTGTACGTGGAGCAAATGTTGTGGGGAAGTTACTCTGCGAGTTCCCTGATACAGTAAAAGGCTTCGCTTTTGGGGAGAATGTGGTTGGGTAGTTATCGGGTTGTTTGAACGGAGTTGTAGGTTTTTTATTCAAATTTTGAGGGTTGTTGCTTGGGTAATTGTCAGCTTCAGTGGTAGCCTTACTCTTAACAAACTGATTGTTGTTGTTCGATGTAGTGGGATAGTTTTCAGTTTGTTTTGTTTGTTTTACTTTGGGAATATCATACTGAGGGTTGTAATTGTTATTATTGATTGGTTGGGGATAGTTTTCGGTGGTCTGTTTCTTGCTGGCTGGTGTTGTGGTATAATATTGCCCATTGTTGTTATTCTGCCTTACAGGTGGGTTGTTGTTGAAAGGTGCTGGCGTACTCACAGTGTACTGTGGGCTACTAGGTTGCTGTCTAAAGTTATCGGCGTTGTTATATTGCTGCACTCTCTGCCTGGTTCTGACTCTTCTTTGCGCTACTGTAGTGGCAGGTTCTTCAGTCGTTGTGGTGGTTGGACGAGACGTGGTTGGGATGTAGGAGCTACCAGCAAAGTTGTTTACGAAACCTGTTTGACGTTGCTGTGGCCTTTCAGTATTTGCTGGGCGGGTTCTGATGTGGGTTTTTTGCTTTTGTTGTTGCGGTTGCTGCTGTGGAACTTGCTCCTCTTCTTCATCTGTATTTTGTTGTTGTACAGGTCTTCTTTGTTGTTTACGAACAATCTTCCTCTTCTGGGCATAGTCATTATCTTGGTTGACATTCACATTATCATCGTAATCCTCATCGGTTTCCTTGCCATTGTTTCTGTTGTTAAAGAAATTGGAGCTGCTTGAACCCTTGAAGATGTCCCTTTCATTGTTGTTGTTGTTGTTGTTGTTGTTGTTGTTGTTATTGTTGTTGTTATTGTTATAGTTATTGTTACTTTGTTGTGCAGGCCTAGAGCTAACTTTAGACTTATTGTACTTAAAGTTGTCTTTTTGCTGATTTACTCTGTTGGACTGATGATCACGGTTCAACCTCGCGTCTCCAGTTTCAGCGCGTTGTAAGGCAAAAGTTTCTTCGTCCTCTCCATATTTCACAGCTTTGGACTCGAAGCCTAAAATATAAAAATCGCTATAATCACCGTTTATGCCTATTTGTGAAAGTATTTATTCGTGAATCACAATATTAAAGATGTTAGTCATGATTTAGTTATGTAACGTGTATTTTTTTAAATAAATGTTTCTGTTGATCGAAAGTAAGGAAATTATGACTTGAAAAAGACACCTATGTATGTGTGTGTGTGTGTGTGTGTGTGTGTGTGTTTGAAATATTTAACCTGAATATGTCTGGTGTTGCAAATAAGTTCGCAGATGAGTCAAAAGAATTGTTTCCCATGCTATGTAATGTAAATGACAGGGACGTAATTTAAAAAAAATGATTTTTTTATATGATTAAAATAGTTATTTATGTATCAAGGCAGTAAAGTCGTATTTTTATCACGAATGTGGAAATTATTTGCCGAGGCGAAAGCCATTTTGATGATTAAATCAAATGTCATGTGATGATCAAATCAAAAGTCATTTCAATGTAGGAAGTGTCTACGTATACTGTTTGTTGCGACGTTTATGATATATTTGCCCGCCGCGGCGATTTTTTAATCTAATTAATAAAATTAACTTATTATTTTTATTAAACAACATTTTATGAAAGGGTCCAATCGACCTCCGCGGCGGTGCTTTTTTTTAAATATTATTTAGTTTCTGCTGAGGAGCAGTAGACACATCTTAAAATGTTTAATGGGTTGCATACAATACTCGTATTAAATCGGCAGTAAAGTTCTACTTTACTACCGATTTCTTTTACTTTACTGCCGATTGTTGACTACTTTACTGCCGATTTCGGATAAAAAATTGTATTTGAATTAACAACATTGGCATTGACATTATCAAAAATGAAATTAAAACTCATTGACACATTTGGAGTGGTTTAACTCAATATAGTTAGATAGTTATGTTTTGTTTGTTTTTTTTTTTCAATAAATTTATAATTTTTTGTATTTTTAGTGGGTATTTTACTTGAGAAATAGTGCTTCAAAATTAGCCAAATAATTTTCATTCAATCTTCTAATACAAATTTCACCCGTTCTCCAAACTCTTGGAATTATAAACAACAGAATTTTATGAAAATTATCGGGTGACGTTCACAATATCGAAATTCATTATATCGAATTCAAAATATCGAACACTTTTTATCGAAAATCAAAATATCGAAAATACAAAATGTCGAAAATCAAAATATCGAAAATTAAAATGTCGAAAATGATAATATCGAAAATTAAAATGTCGATTTGAAAATGTCGAATAATTAAAATTTCGAAAATTAAAATGTCGAAAATGATAATATCGAAAATTAAAATGTCGATTTGAAAATGTCGAATAATTAAAATTTCGAAAATTAAAATATCGATTTAAAAATATCGAAAATTAAAATGTATGATTAAAAAATCGAAGTGTATATGTACAGAGGCGCCTCTGTAGATAAAGTTGCGGTTATGCACCGAATTATCTTGGCTCCCTGGCTCCTAGAGATGCGCGTTTTATAGAAATGTACTCAAACTCAACAACACAACCCAACCGACCCCGCCCCATTGGACCCCCCCCCCCGCCCCATTGAGCAAAAAACCCAACTAAAATGGGCAAATTCATGTTACGATAAAAATAAAACACTTTTTAATTACATAAATTAGCCCATTTTAGTTGGGTTTTTTGCTCAATGGGGCGGGGGGGGGGGCAATGGGGCGGGGTCGGTTGGGTTGTGTTGTTGAGTTTGAGTACATTTCTATATCAGAGGCGCCTCTGTACATATACACTTCGGATTAAAATAATATTTGTATAATTTTGTATTTTCGACATTTTAATTTTCGACATTTTGTATTTTCGATATTTTGATTTTCAAAAAAAGTGTTCGATATTTTGAATTCGATAAAGTGAATTTCGATATTATGAACGTCGATATTTTATTTTCGATAAATTGAAAATTCGATTAAATAAAATTTCGATATTATCATTTTCGACATTTTAATTTTCGATATTTTGATTTTCGACATTTTGTATTTTCGATATTTTGATTTTCGATAAAAAGTGTTCGATATTTTGAATTCGATAAAGTGAATTTCGATATTATGAACGTCACCCAAAATTATCGACATCTAATTTTTAAGCATTTTCTATACTTTGTATAATATAATATATATATTTAAACTCAAACAATTTGAAGTGCCCACCGTAAGGTTATACTAATGTTAAAATTGTTATAGAAAGGTTATTTAAATGCTAAATAAATCAGTTAGCAAAATTGTTTTTAGTTCTGTCCTGTTCTTAATGTTGCAAGGCATCAAATGTAAATAACACAAATCGTGCAATCTTTCCTCTTCTTTAGATGCCAAAGGAAGATTGCAAGGCTGAGGTGCAACACATCAGAGGCGTACGTAGATATTTAATTAGGGTCACAAAAATAAATTAATTTTAACTTAATACAGGGCTGTCTTGTTGACATAAAAGTGGCAACATAGTTTATTATAAGGACACTGACGATTTATAAGGAAATGTTGAAGTTTTTTTATGCAAATAAATAACCATTAAGACTTTTTTACAAGGGTTTAGTAAAGAATAGCTGAATGAGATTAATTGTTGGTTAGTGAAAGTTAATACTTAGTTACCTGAGCCAATACGGTAAAGGTCGAAGTTGTCGCTGGAATAGTAAAGCGTCGTAGCATCACAGTCAACGTCTTCCCATTCGGCACAAATCTGATGATCTTGATCGAAAGCTGTGCCGTTGGGACACAGGAACCGGAAGTCTTGTATCTGAAAGTATTTTTTTTTTAATTTTTGTTACAAATCTATTCTATGTTCACTTATTCTTGTTAAACCCACTCTTAAAAATACACGAAGAAAATAACCTGTTTTTGGTATTTTACCGTTGAGTGGAGACTTTTTCAATCAATGCTTTTAATTAAATGAATAGGTAAACTAAGAAGTGAAAATTCCTAAATTACAGTGGATATACCACGTTGCTATGACAAAGGTTTGGTTTTTAAGTACACTCACAGGCAAAATAATCGATGAATTTCAATAGCAAATAACTTTTCTATTTGATGTCGGATTTAAACGAATATTAAAGAATATTGTAGATAAATTAATGGACAATCGCTCAAATTTTAAAAAATTACTTAAAAATACACGTACGTTTATAATATACAGGTTTAAACAAAAATATGTTTTTTAACATAAGTTTAAGACACTCTGTAGAGTGGCAAAACCGTATATTGTACTAAATTAAGTTTTATTGATCAAGTCACATCTATTCTTGACATTTTTGTTTTTGGTTCACCTTGATATATTTATTTTTGTGGAAAATATGGATTTTTTTAAAAAACATTGCAATTTCCAATATTTTTCCTGTATGAAGAACTAAGGTTGCTATGGTCCATCCATAGCCTATGAAGAATGACAGTGACAGTTTTGTTGAATCATCCCATACTTGGACATGTCATATACAGCTTTCAAAAGCTATCAAATTGTTTTTTGTAAATTAATGTGTTAATTTTGAGGTGTCTTCTTACTTTTAAAAATGTCTCCGACTGATGTTGCCCTTTGTACTTCTTGTGATGTTTAAAACACTTGCCACGTAATTCTGTGACCGTCCATCCTGGATTAAATTAATAGCTCTGGCAACATCAGTCGGAGACATCCATTTTATAAAGTAAGAAGACACCTCAAAATTTAAACATTAATTTGCATAAAACAATTTGATAGCAGCTATCATACTATGTCATACACGGCTTTCAAAAGCTGCTTTTGAAAGCCGTGTATGACATGTCCAAGTATGGTATGATTCAACAAAACTGTCACTGTCATCCTCCATAGTTCTTCAGACAGAAAAATATTATAAATTGCAATGTTTCTTAAAAAAATCCAAATTTTCCACAAAAATAAATATATCGAGTTGAACCAAAAACAAATCTGTTAAGAATAGGTGTGACTTGATAAATAAAACTTAATTTAGAACAATATACTGTTTTGCCACTCTACAGAGTATCTTAAACTTATGGTAAAAAACATCTTTTTGTTTAAACCTGTATATTATAAACGTACGTCTATTTTTTAGTATATTTTTAAAATGTGAGCGATTGTCCATTAATTTATCTACAATATTCTTTAATATTCCTTTAAATCCGACATTAAATAAAAAAGTTATTTGCGATTGAAATTCATCGAAAATTTGTGTGGATCGATTATTTTGCACGTGAGTGTATATAGTAATATTTTTGATAATTTTGTTTCAATACATTTTAGTTTTTTTGTATTTTTAGTGGGTATTTTCACTTAAGAAATATTCTCCTTAAATACAGCTTGTGCTTAAAAATGAACCAGATAATTTTCATTTAGACTTAATGTACAAATTGCGCTTTCATAAATTTATCGGTTACTTTTAAGCACTTGTGGTATTACCTAAAATAATTTAATTACTTTTATCATTTTTTCCTTGCAATTCACAATTTGTTGAGGTTTCTCGTTATAAGAGTATTGGTATTTTATATACATATTTTATTGACTTTCTAAACATAACAATTTAATAAATTTTACCGACATTTATATTTTTACGTATAAATACCCAATAACAAATTTAATATCCGCGGAAAAACATTTTATTATTCACTACCACATTACATAACACACCCAAATATGTTTAGGAGAAAGTAAAATTGTTTAGCTAAATGAATTGACTTAAAATGCCAATGATAAAAAGTGGCAACACGTCTTAATTTATTAATAACATATTGATTTTTTTAAATGCTGTTATTATTTTGTAGCCTGGGGATTTAGTTTTTTACCAAATTGTTACATCAATAATCTCTTCATCATTGTAATTAGGTAATCTGAAAATACTGTAAGATTTTTTTATTTTATTAGGGGACAATTTTACAAAATAATTGGCTTTTAACTTTTGATATTCTATAGTTAACCATGGTACAAGTGAAAAAGCAGCAACTAATAACTATTAAATTATCATTTTTTGACTAATTCATTTTTAGAGAGTTGTTAATATTTGGTTAAAATTATCAAATATTTTTTTACTGTGTAACGACTGTTATATAATTTATTAAACCATACCACCTGTTAATCTTAATAATATATGATAAAGGACTAATAAAATAAATGTTAATTAAGAATCGTAACATCCTAAACCGAAAAAACCTTATTAAACCATACCACCTGTTAATCTTAATAATATATGATAAAGGACTAATAAAATAAATGTTAATTAAGAATCGTAACATCCTAAACCGAAAAAACCTTTAAACTAAATCGGTGTATGTCAAGGACTTTCCAGTTAGGTAATACGTCAATTAAGATACGTAAATAAGGATGCTACCTTATTAATTTTTTTTATTCACGATTTCGATATTTTTCTCGAAGTTTCAAGGTAAGTCTTCGTGTTAGCACCATTTTATCGAAAGACAATCAAACAGGCATTTCCTGTAAACTATTATACCTAATTACTTATTATTGGATAGTTTTTTTTGTACGTCTTTGTCTATGATCGTGTAATTATTGTTGCCAAATACAGAGTGTTAAATTTACTGGACACGCCGTGGGAAATAAAAGAATAATTGTTATGCTTGATATAATGGATGTATAATTTATGTGGTGATTTTTTCAGGTACATTGCAAAATTAATTTTCTTGTAATTTAGCTTCTTGCAAAAGTTTGTAAATGCCTAGGTTTTAAGTTTGGTCATATGTATAAAGCATACTTACTCTTTAAAAATAAATTAGTCAAAAATGATAGATTTCATAGTTACACTTTTATTGTGTTTTGATCTTTCATAATTATAATTAAGTAGATATTACAGCTCAGGTTCCAGATTTTTAACCGCAACTAATTATTTTTTACAATGTTTTAAAAGTCTAAAACCTATCCTCCGTGACTGTTACTCTTTCTAGGTTAACCTATATGTTTTCAAATATCTGAGGTAGTAAAAGCATACTAAAAATATCAGTTCGCTAAGTAAATTAAACACATCCAAAGAAATCGAATCAAATATAAAATATTATTAAAAAATTAAAAGAAATAATTTTTATAACCATTTATGTAGTTGTTACAAAAATTGATTCTATCCTCCGTGAATCTGTTTTTGCTTTAAATTTAATGCAACGGATGGTACTTTAATGATTTTAAATAAGCAAAAACCTCTATTTACGACATTATAGATGCATGTGATTCCTGAAGGTCAGTTAGAATTTATATGCAGATGAGAGTGTTGCTGTTTTATAATTCAAAAGTTTAAGTTCATTAAATTGCTATTTAAAAACCTATCCACCGTGAAGTGTAATATCTCAGTAAGTAGATTTTTTTTATAAATATTTTATGTATGTAGTATTGTATTTTTTAAAAATATTAAGGTGTCAAAAGATACAATAACTTATTTCAAATATATAAAGGGATCTTAAAAAAACATACGAAATCCTAACCTCCGTGAAGCTCTAATATTCAAAATGTATGATTTCTTAAAATTCTTGCATTAGTGCAGAACCACTTATGTAATGTTATTACCAGACCAACCCAATTCTAGACTAACAGTGAAACAACCAAAAATAAAAAATAATCATTTTCATTTGGGGGACATATCAATATATTCACTCAAATATATTTTTTAAGGATTACATAACTTTATTTAATTTTGCAATAAAAGTTGTCAAAAGTTGGTACATAAAAATTCAACCATATGGTAATTTGGTGCATTACTTTATTTATTATACAATTTATAAAAGCAATTTATTAAGTAAAAGTTTGAATATTAAAAAAATATTTTTTAATTACCTATAAATATTCTTTAAAAATTATTATAATCACTTGAATAAGCTTTTCCAAACATTGACTTTATTTATACAACACCAACCATTACAACCAATAACTTTATGGGCGTTTCTCTGTAAACTGGACAACTTGAAGTAAGAAATTGTCTAGGCAAGTTTTTTTGTTATATTTTTGTTGTATTTAATAAATGTTATTCGAGGAAGAAATATCGGTCTATTTATTAGTATACGGCAGATGAACCAAAAATAGTCCTATTACTTTGGAAAACATTCAGCATTTTCTGAAAAATCTATACAGGGGACTGTTTATAAAATCCGGAGACAAAGTTTAGCTGACTTTTTTAGAATTACAAAATAATAATTATAAAAAATAAATAAGTCACAGTAACAAGCAAACAATATTGGTTGAATAATTAAACAATTAGGTTGATTCAAATAGTTACTGTCTTTAATTAATTTAGTCTGAAGTGACCATTTTGCTTTGGTGACACGTCAGGGGACTGGTTTTTAAGGACTATAAAAACGATTTTGATACATTAAAGTTTATTTTATTGGATTTTGAACGTCGAGCATAGGTAGATTAGGTTATTCTCTTTTGAAGTTATCTACGAAATATTTATGATCTGTTATTTTTCTAAACAATATTAGCTTGAGACAATGAGTTGCCCAGTTTACAGAGAAACGCCCTTATATAATTTCTTTCTATTTCCCAACCACAAACATTTGAATATAAAAAAAAATTACTTACGCCTACTCCAGCAACTTTAACGCAAACATGGAACATCTGACATTGAGCATCAGCGTCGGCATAGTAACCACCTAAAATTTTTTCCCTACAAGTGAAGTCAGTATCGGGCATATTTTCTAAACTGTATGTAGGGAAGGGCCTGTGGTTCAGGAAGGCCGATGATACCCAGCCCAGGCAACATCCTTGAAAAAAGAAAAAATGTTATTGATCAAGTGCTTTCAGAGATATAAGGATTTTGATTGGCTATTAAATTAAAATCATGTTTTTTTATAAGGAAAAATATGTATCTGAAGTTTTGAAATATCTTTAAAACTATCCAACCTAAAAACTTCAAATTTTAGTACGCCATCCAAGAAAAACTCATCACACAACTCCCCAAATTTGACTTATATAACTCCACTAACACCAAAGATATACCCTATAAACTTTATCCTCGAAAACCTCTTAGTACATAATTACAGCTTACGTCTTTCAAGTAATACAAGAAGCGTTGCAATAGACAGATTTGGGTTAAAGATTATTATTATATACGTTCACCATCATTATGTTATTAATTGAAAAACCATGGCTATTTCAGATCCATTTAACACTAGACAATGGTAATACGAATTGAATCATTACATAAAATTACGAGGTTTTAATTTAAAACTTTGGTTACGTTAATTTTTTGGTTAAAAGTTTGTTATTGAAATTGGTTTTATGGAAAAAATGTTATTTATGTTTTATAGCATAATATATTACTAAAGAAAGTGTAAAGTTCATAAGTACATTTAATTTATGAAAATAAACCATAAAAATCCACATTATCCGAAAAATAATCTGGACAATTTAAATACAGTGAAAGTAAACTCATTAACATCATTTATAAAACTTTACAATATAATAATTATAATTTATATTACATAAAACAAATACTTTTTAAAAATTTCAAGCATGAGTAAAATAATTAGTAATGTGTTAAGTGTTTTGCTATTAAAGTGAATAAGTTCGTGAGATTATTAGAACCTTTGAAAGATGCGCTGATATTAAAATTTATTTTTTATTTATACGTTGTTTTAATAGGTCTGATTGTGGCCTTGGCATGAAACAGAATTGTATAAATAATGCGTGATAAATACATTATTTAAGGCCTTAATGTTTAATAATATAAAAAAATATTCTGACAGTTTTTTATGGCTGTCATCAAATTTTAAAATTGAAATTTGAGAAAAACAAACGCGTTAATTGTCATTGTAGTCAAGCTAATAAAAAAACTGAATTAATTATATTTATTTAGATTTTACCTAACACAGAGTTGTCAAGTTTTTTTATACTTTCATCCTTCATAATTCAAAATTTAACCCCTATTTATTGAATTGATTGATTAAAATTTAAGTAATTCTTATAAAAATGCGAACTAGCGTCATACGAAACTTCATAAGTAAAAAAAAATATTTTTAAGAAGGTAGCTGATTTTGACATGGTTGTCAGATGTATTTTCTGACAGTTAGTGATAAATAATATATTTTAACCAAGTAAATAAAAAAATAATTTATAACTTATAACTAGAGACCGGATCCTAGGCTAATTAGTAATTTTTTAAATTTTTACTATATTTTTTTAATGACCTTTTTGCACCCAATAATTGTGCTAACGAAGCGCCGACCACTACACGACGTGGCCACCTATGTAGATTTAAAACTGATATTTTTTTGTGATAAACGAAAGAAAATATGAAAATAGTATATTACACTACAAGGGCAGAAAGTGCTCTCACACTTTCTGCCCGTGTAGTGTATACTATTTTTCTTACTACCTCGGCCGAAAATACAACCCGGCCGAAAATACGGGAAAAAATTAAATGTGTATTTATGTACCTATCTCCATTTGAAGAGATTGATAAATAAATAACAGGAGGCCGTGAATTCAACGGTGCCAATACAGTAAAAATAAAAGGTTGTATTTTAATTAACAAATTACTACTTTATATCAAATAAAAGTACCATTAAACACTTAAAACAACATAAAAAGTAAAAAAGTAAAAACATAAATTGTTTATTTGTTGTTATAATTGCAAAATTATGGTTTAAAACTGTCATATTTTTGTGTTTCTCATGTTGGCAGTAAGAAATTTGAATGTTAAGCACACGACTAAAAAAATTTTACTCCCGCTATTAGAGTGTGCGCGTATAGCTTGACCAATGCATAAAACGTAAACTTTCTGCCGTGGAATCGGGGACGAAACAACGTATTTTGAGTCGAGGTAGTCAGAAAAAATTATTGTTTAGTACTAAAATTATTATTCAATACTATAATAAATAAAACAATTAAAAATGTATTAAATTTTGTTAAATTAGTTTTTTTCTTAAATTAACTTATTTATTTTGTGTTTTTTATGTATATTAGAATTAAATTTTGTAATATTGACTTTTTGCCTTTTTTGTGTCTATTTTGCTTTTTTACCTGCCTAATTTTTCCTTTTTAATTTTTTTTCAATTTTAATTGCCTAAAAGTCCGGTCTCTACCAATAACAAAATTATCCGTTAACTATTTTGGGTATTTGTTAAGAATAACCCTTTGTATCACTCAATATGATGTTAGTGCGCTATTGTCGTGACCCCCTATATAATAATACAAAAATCTTAGTTATTTTTGAAACTTTTCAGAATGTTTTACAAAAATTATATTTACCTAATTATAATTTAAAAAAATCATTCAACTTTCAAAATAACACTCTTAAAATAAAAAATATAAAAATCTGAAAATGATACACCTTGTATATAAAAAAGTAACAATTAAACAAATTTGTAAAAAAAACAAAAGGGTAAAATAATGAAAAACGTTTTAAATTTTTACAAAAATATTGAATTTGTCAAAATTATGTCGATACTAAAAAGTAATGGAAATTAAAGTTATCTGCTCACCATTATTCGTTATTATTGAAGGTACACTTTTTTTCTGATTAAAATGTTGAAAACAGAAAAACAGAATATTTTTACATGTATATATTAAAAGAAAATTTAATTTGGAACAAAAAATTATTATAGCATGACTACCCTTAACTTAAAAATGAACCATTAATAAGCATTTAAACTTCCTGATTGTTGTTAGAATATAGTCATATTAGGAGAAAAAAAAATGTCACCCATTTGTTAATTTAACCGACTTCGTAGCTACAATAATAACTTATATGTATATAAATATATATTAAAACAATTTTAAAAATTGTACAAAAATCTGAAAGTAGATAAAAACTTTAGACGTACATAATGTCTCAAAAAAATGTTAATAATGAATTTAGGACCTTAAAAATCTAAACTATTTGAAAAGTATAAAAGTATAAAAAATAACATTAAAAGTTTAATTTTTGGCCTATTTTAAAAAATGCAATTTCTTTTTCCTATGAAAAATGAGTACTATTATTCATTAAAAAATTAGTCCCACTTTGTGTGAAACTATGATAATTATATGAGAAATTACATTGTTGCAGTAACTCGTTCACATAGTTATTTGCCCTTTTGTGTTTCACTTTTAAATAAAAATGTTTTATTACTGTATTTTATTTAATAATTTCTCTAAATAATATTTTTGCATATTAAAAACAATTATCCTTATAATGACAAAATCCGTATCCACATTATCCTTCTTGCTATACTTGCAATACATAATCCTTAAAAACAGCACTGAATCACACAAAAATAATCATCACTTTAGTACCTCGTACCCGGGTACTCACCTAAAACAATCAATACACTTGCACCCTGCATGTTTCTAAGTCATAAGTTGACTGAATCCGCTTGCAGAAGATCTCTAAGATGAGCACGGTGAAAGGATGTCCTCTAAGAAGGGGTCCTGCTAAGCATTTGTGGAAGGGAAGGACGTCTGGCGCACCTAAGAGAATCTTCAGCTAGCCATACATAGTTGCGACTAGTATACCTATGTACGAGGTGTGTTCAGAAAATACCGGGAATTGTTAAATTTCGCGGGTTCGGAGGGTCCGGTTGTCATAAAATTTTCTTTATTATGTTGGTATACATGCCCCCGAAGTATGATAAAAACTTTAGCTGTTTTCATTGTTTACTTTGTCTGTGGCAGCCGCTAAGGTTAGACGTTTTTTATGAGCTCGGCGATTTTCGTTCGTCAAAAGAAATGGATCAAAGAATTTGTACACAATTTTGCTTAAAAAATGAAATAAATTCCGTGAAATGTTAACAAAGGCCTATGGTGAGTCTGCTATAAGTAAAACAAGAGTTTACAAGTGGTATAAGAGTTTCCAAGATGGCCGTGAAGACGTTGAAGATGACGAACGCCCCGAACGCACAAGCACATTAACAACCGATAAAAACATGGAAAAAGTGGAAGAATTGGTTATAAACCATCAGAGAAGTCGCTGATGATGTTGGTATATCGATTGGCTCATCCCATGAAATTTTTTCGAATGTTTTGGGTACAAAACGCGTGGCAGCAAAATTTGTTCTAAAATTGTTAAATTTAGAACAAAATTTTTGGCCAAAAACAATACTGTAATGATGCCCCAGCCTCCATATTGGCCAGACATGCCTCTGTCTGACTTTTTCCTATTCCCAAAAATAAAGAGAACCTGTTTTGCAAGCATAGACATTAAAAGCGCATCGCTGAAAGAACTAAAGGCTATCCCAAAGATCGAGTTTTAGAAGTGTTTCGAGTATTGGAAGAAGAGCTGGCACATGTGCATAATATCCAATGGGGACTATTTTGAAGACGACAACATTAATGTACACAAATAAATAAATATTTGTTTCAAAAAACGAAAATTCGCGATATTTTCTGAACACACCTCGTATGTCTTTTTAGACATAGGTATAATATATTAAAAAATATACACTCTAGCATATTAGATCAAAAGTCATTCTTAACATTAAAGATACGACAAGTTTGTAATTTCTACACAATTATGTATAATTAATTATCCAGTATTCCACACCCTAAAATTTAGTATACATTTCCCAATATTAACAAAGATACAGGGGGTTTTAGCACACCTATCTCAATGTCCTAAATCAAATTCAGATGTTTAAGTAATAGTGCGGAGCAATATGGTTGCCCTAGATTGGATGACACGTAACGCATCCTGTGATTATCAATTGTTTTTTCGTTTACACGCACGCCATTTCAAGTTATTTCATTCTGTATGAAGGATGTTTCATATTTCGATGTTATGTTTTAGCGAAGATAAGTTATTAAGTAAGATTTGGTATTATTTAAATGAAGTTACTTTTATTGCAATATAGACACCCTGTATATTATGTAGTGAAACAAAATGTGTTGACTTGGTAGGTAATTGAATAAAAGAAACTATCCTAGTATTTCTTCTTATGGTGATAAACGTGGACATATGTTAAAATAAAATAAAAAAAATAATTACATGATAGAATTCCTAAAAAGATTAGAAGTATTTATGTGCAAAACAATTTGCCAATTAAATTAAAAGATGTACACCTCCATACAACTATTAAATACACAGTATACTAACCTATAGGTTAATACATGGGTTGTATAAATTATATTAAATTATTGCAGTTATCCATAAAAGGGACACAAAAGGATTTATTTTATTTAATTTCGCAACAAGGACGAAAAAAACATTTAAACTATTAATAATAATAAATAGCAATAATAGAACCTGCTTAACCTGTACATAGCATAAAAATAGTATTATTTACCTATTTAATATTTAGCACAACATTATAGTTATAAATATTTATTTGTAAAGATATTTTATTCATTTGTTAGATGACAATATACACTTTATGATTCACCATTTATCCTGCCAAAGTTTCATAATCGTTAGAAATAGTATCATTTTTCTTCTTTCTTGTTATTTTAAATGTCATTGAAACCTTCAACTTAAGTTATGAGAATATTTTCAATTAAAAAAAAATTAGCCAAGTAATTACCTGTTTTTTATAGAAAAATACAACATTCATTCTTATTTCAATGACGAATTTTTATTATGAGATTGAGAAATGATTATTTTTATTTTTGTCTGTTTTATTGTTAGTCTAGAATGGGGTTTTTGGTAAGCCACCAGGTCTAGTAATAACATAACATAAGTGGTTCTGCACTAATGCAAGAATTTTAAGAAATCATACATTTTGTATATTTGAAATAAGTTATTGATCTTTTGACACCTTAATATTTTTTTAAAATACAATTGTTCATACATAAAATATTTCTAAAAAAAATCTACTTACTGAGATATTACACTTCATGGTGGATAGGTTTTTAAATAGCAAATTAATGAACTTAAGCTTTTGAATTATAAAACAGCAACACTCTCATCTGCATATAAATTCTAACTGACCTTCAGGAATCACATGCATCTATAATGTCGTAAGCATTTTTGCTTATTTAAAATGATTAAAGCGCCATCCGTTGCATAAAATTTAAAACAAAAACAGATTTACGGAGGATAGAATCAATTTTTGTAACACCTACATAAATGGTTATAAAAATTGTTTCTTTTAATTTCTAATAATATTTTATATTTGGTTCGATTGCTTTGGATGTGTTTAATTTACTTAGTGAACTGATATTTTTAGTATGCTTTTGCTACCTTAGATATTTGAAAACATATAGGTTAACCTACAAAGAGTAACAGTCACGGAGGATAGGATTTCATTTGATTTTTCTGTCAATAGCGAACTTACATAACTAATTATATTCATAAGTTTCTATCTAAATAATTTTTTCACATTTTTGAACAACATTTTTTCTAACCCCATACACAATTCATAATTACTTCAATTACAACGGTAACACATTGAATAAGAACGAGGTTGAATCGATCTAAAAAAGAATTTTAATTGCACTAACTATGATAGCATAAAAGTCTTCTTGGCGATGGTTAGTTTGGAATGATGTTGCTAAATAATGCAATACCGTTTACTTTCGATATACACTAAGGCTTAATCGTACTATTATTATAAATTATCTTCTCCTGAGAACCATTTAATCCGGAACAACTTTTATCATAAAGAACAAATATGCAATTAAAAGTTTAGTCAGTTGGTATTTATTGACATGAAGAAATAATTGCAATGTACAAGAATTTTACAGTCAATAAATTATTATAATTTAAACATATTTTTAGTTAAAAAAAGCAGTCTAAAAACAACATTTTTGAACTTATCTTAAAGATATTATTTTGAATAATTATCGTCATAACTAATTATCATTTAACCTATATATATTAACCTATAGTTATAGCTTTAGCTATAGCTATAACTATAACTATAACTACAACTATAGTTATTATTTTAGAATGTCGTCATTTTAACGTGTTTTTATTTCAATTTGTCATTTTATCATGTCGTCATTTTTTTAACTTGTATTCTCTTAAACCTATATTTAGTTTTGTAAGAATTTTATGGTTAATTTTTTGAAATCTCTAATTATATTAATAAAACAAAATAATAATATTTTCTATTCTATAAAACACATGTAGGTGTTTTTAACATACCCCATCACAAATCTTTAATAACAAAATTACTTAGTATAAAAACAAATTAAAATGTAAATGCAATATTTTATTGGATGTCAGTAAAAGTGTTTAAATATTGCAATTAAACACCTACTGAAGACTTATAAATAAATAAATGTTCGTTTTAACCGTTATCCACCAATCTTGAGTTAAGTTCAAGCCTTGAATATTGATGGTCTATCAATGGAATTATTTTGCATATATGTTCATGTAATGCATATTCCGGATGCATGGCTTAAAGGTTAGAACTTCGTAAGGATACTTATTATCTGATAAATTTTCTTAATTAGTTGAACTTACTTTTATATAAATTTTTGTCTTATATATAGTCCTATATTTTGAAACGTATTAAAACAAATAAAAAATAAAAAAATTATAGTTAAAATACTATATAATTGCATCTCGTCATTTTTTGTTTATAGTTAATATTAACCTCACTATTTTTTAGCAAAGCAATCAATTTATTCTTTTTTGATGCAGACCTAAGGTAAATTAAAACTTAGTTTGGTTGAAATTTTTATGTAAACTTTTCTATGGGTTTTTTATAGACCAAAAAAGTATTTTTAAATAAATAGGTATTCCTATAGGTTTTTTACAAAAGAGAGGAAGGCAGAAGTCTTACTCGACAAATTTTGTTCAATTGCACAGCTAAATCGCGCACGTTATTTGTGTTTTACGTTGCAAGGAAAAAATTTAAAAACTTTTTTAGTACTCGATTTCAATTGATTATTCCTTATATCATTGATTAAGAAACTCAACGCTTAAATGCTTATATAGTTACGTTAGTGTGTGTATTTTATCTAAGGGATCATGGTGAATTATTGCGTTTTTAATTGTAAATAAAATTCAAGAATTAAATCGTTGCATTTTCATGTTTTGCCAAAGGATCCAATTCGGTAAGTACATTTGTTGGGGCAGATTTAACTAATGATAACTTTACCTAATATAATTCATATTTAAGTTTGTTAAAATAACTTTTGCACAAACATAACCATAAAATCAACCATTTTTATGTTTGAGTTCTCTAAAAAACGCCGTCAACTGCATTTTAAACAACAAAATATACCTACGAATTCATGGCAACATAAAATTATATATAATACATAATATAATGGTATTTTACCGTTGAGTGGAGACTTTCTTAATCAACGCTTTTAATAATGCTAAATGCTGTTTAAATTTAGACGACTTATTTGTTTGACGATTTTTACTGAATTGAAATGTTTACACTTTTTACGTTAGTCACTACTAAAATGTTTATTTATTGTATCTAATAGGTACAATTTATATTTACAGAGACTGTATGCAATTTATTTCTTTATTCAGATTAACACTGTTTATTGAAAAACTCAACCCAGGATTTCCTCTCGAAATACACCCAACAACACAACAAATCGAGC